ATGTCTGGCTAATTTTTTTTTAATTTTTGTAAAGGTGAAGCTCCAATCTAATTTGATCTCTAGTCCTCTAACTCCAGATTATCCAAAAGATCCTAATATCTTCATATAACAGAGCTCTCATGTAACCCCTCTGCTCAAGGACCTTCAGGGTTCCTGACAATCTACAAAAGGAATTCCAAATGACTTAGCATTCAAGGCCTTTTCAGCCATGTTTTCCTCTGCTCCATTTTATTTGCTGTTCATGCTAACCAAATTGGAATATGTGCAATTAGTCCACACATGCCTCAGGATTTCCAACTTCCGTGACTATTAACTATGGATATGGTTTAGCTCTGTCCTCACCAAATCTCATCTCGAACTGGAGTTCACATAATCCCCACATCGTAGGAGGGACTTGGTGGGAGGTAAATGAATAATGGGGGTGGTGACCTCCATGCTGTTCTAGTGATAGTGAGTTCTCACAAGATCTGATAGTTTTAAGGGGCTTCCCCCCTTCGCTCTTGTATTACTCTGTTTTCATGCTGCTAATAAAGATATACCTGAGACTGGGCAATTTACAAAAGAAAGAGGTTTAACTGAACTTACAGTTCCATGTGGCTGGGGAATCCTCACAATCATGGTGGAAGGCAAGGAGGAGCAAGTCACATCTTACATGGATGGCAGCAGGCAGAGAAGGTGCTTATAAACTCCCCCTTATAGAACCATCGGATCTTGTGAGACTCATTCACTACCATAAGAACAGCACAGGTAAGACCTGCCCCCATGATTCAATCGCCTCCCACCAGGTGCCTCCCACAACACATGGGAATTCAAGATGAGATCTGGGTGGGGACACAGAGACAAACCATATCATTCTGCCCCTGGTCCCTCCCAAATCTCATGTCCTTATATTTCAAAACCAATCATTCCTTCCCAACAGTCCCCCAAAGTCTCAACTCATTTCAGCATTAACTCGAAAGTCCACTGTCCAAAGTCTCATCCGAGACAAGGCAAGTCCCTTCTGCCTATGAGCCTGTAAAATCAAAAGCAAGTTAGTTACTTCCTAGATACAATGGGGGTACAGGCAATGGATAAATACAGCCATTCCAAAGGGGAGAAATTGGCCAAAACAAAGGGGTTACAGGCCCCATGAAACTCCAAAATCCAGCGGGGCAGTCAAATTTTAAAGATCCAAAATGATCTCCTTTGACTCCATGTCTCACATCCAGGGCACGCTGACGTAAGAGGTGGGTTCCTATGGTCATGAGCAGCTCCACCCCTGTGGCTTTGCAGGGTACAGCCCTACTCCTTGCTGCTTTCATAGGCTGGTGTTGAGTGCTTGCAGCTTTTCCAGGCACATAGTGCACACTGTCAGTGGATCTACTATTCTGGGGTCTGCAGGATGGTGACTTTCTTCTCACAGCTCCACTATGTGGTGCCCCAGTGGGGACTATGTGTGGGGGCTTCCACCTGACATTTTCCTTCTGCACTGCCCTAGCAGAGGTTCTTCATGAGGGCCCCACGCCTGTGGCAAACTTCTGCCTGGACATCTAGGCACTTCCATACATCCTCTGAAATCTAGGAAGAGGTTTCCAAACCCCAATTCTTGACTTCTGTGCACTGGCAGGCTTGCACCCTCTGAGGCCATGGCCTGAGCTCTACATTGGTCCCTTTCAGCCACAGCTAGAGTGGCTGGGACATAGGGCACCGAGTCCTTAGGCCACACATAGCATGGGTTCCCTGGGCCCAGACCACAAAACCACTGTTTCCTCCTAGGCCTCTAGGCCTGTAATGGGAGGGGCTGCCATGAAGAACTCTGACATGCCCTAGAGACATTTTCCCCATTGTCTTGGGGATTAACATTCAGTTCCTCATTACATATGCAAATATCTGCAGCCAGCTTGGATTTTTCCTCAGAAAATGGGATTTTCTTTTCTATCACCTTGTCAGGCTGCAAATTTTCCAAACTTTTATGCTCTGCTTCCCTTATAAAACAGAATGCCTTTAACCACATCCTAGTTACATCTTGAATGCTTTGCTGCTTGGAAATTTCTTCTGCCAGATACCCTAAATCATCTGTCAAGTTCAAAAACTAGTAGAAACAGTATAGTATGATTGTTAAGAGATCAGATTCCAGAATTTAGAGTCAAACATAATTAGGTTCAAATGCCAACTTCACCATGTTCTTGTTCTGTGACCTGAGCTTGAGAAAGTAACTCTTCCTACCAGCAGATTCCTCATCTGTAAAAGTGGCTATAATAATAGTATCTCACTAATAGGACATAACTACCTAATTGGGTGGTTATAAGACTCAGATGATTCATGTGAAGAAGTAATCACCATGATTCACATACAGGTTCTTGACAAATGCTAGATATTTCTAGTAAACACTGGCCAGCAAGCATGCATTCTAACTTCTTTTAATATAATGGGACTAAATCCCTTGCACCATTTCCCAATCCCTTGCACCTAGGATTCTAGATTTAAGTTCCTACAATCAGATGTTAAACTTCTAGGTTGAATGTCCAGGAATGACACTCAGCCTAGAGTCTGGAATCCAATTTTGTTTATGTGCCTTAGAATTGCAGTGGCACAGCCTGGGAGAGCAGCTGTAGCAAATGTTTCCTAACTTAGTAGGCTATTTTCCACTGATAGCAGAGGCTCTAGAGCTAATAGCTGTGATGGTATCTTTCTTATACCATGGCTTTCTGATGGTAGCAAAGGCATAATCCCTTGACAGCCAGTGTCGCTTTGGGAACCATTCCTGGACACAACATAAAATCTGTGAGTCATTTAATGCTCCGTGATGAATATCTTACTGCTTAAACTAGCTAGAGTGCATTTTACTCTCCACAACTGAACACTAACCAAAATACTATTGTTATTATTTCTTCTGGAAAAGATTTCCACATGGGAAGGAAAAGATTTGTGACCAGGACGGCAACTCAGAGGCAGATTTCACCCTGAATAGTTGTCTCTAAGTTACTGCAGGTGGTAATCACACTCATAAACAAAGAATGGCAAGCAATCGTTTGTAATCAGCTTGAGTGAGTATTCAGGGTGTTGAAATTTGGTGTACCATTTAAAAATATCTCTGAATGTCTTGACAGTAACTTAGTTTAGTAAAATATCATGCTATCACTTTGCAATATGTTCCATTCAAGATGAGATTTGGGTGGGGACATAGCCAAACCACATCAGCATGTATCAGTATTTTTCTACATAAACATTTTCTAGGAATAGTAACCACCCATCTTCATGCACCTGCAGGCCCTGGAAAGGTCAAGCACAGAGTCGGAACTCCAGTAGAAAGCATAAGAGAACTCAGAATTCAGGTCTTTTTTCTGCTAGGACCTTAACGACATTCTGTCTGAATTTATCTGCTCTTTTTCCTCTATTCACCTCTGTACCTTTGAGAAGCTCTCAGTATCATACCATCTACCTTTAACCTTGCTTTACTGTAAAGAACTGATGAACAGCTGAGAAACCTTGTGCTGCTCTCCATGACTTTGACTTCTATGATCCCAAGATTATTTTCAAGGCGAACAAACAATAGCCATAAAATAGACCCAGTAAATTTTTGTGGCAGATCGTCTGGCAGCAACAAATATTTATTGAGTGCCAAAAGTATAAAGTATTCCAGGTAGTTGAGATACATATCAAAAAAATAGACCTAGTTCCTGCTCTTAACTCACAGGCAGGGGCCATTTCACGTCTGAGTGTTTCTGCTTGCTTGTAATGTCACTGAGATCAAACTGGAACAATAACAAAAAGCACAGATGCAGACCTTAATCTGTGATGTGTTTCTGCACCTAAAAACAAACACAACAAAAATCTTTTTTACTATACCAAGTACTTTCCCCTCTAATAGTTTCCTCGGGCCTGGAAAAGTCTAGAAAATAGTGTGTGAAAAAACAACAAAATAAATTATCTGGAAATTTTCTATATATTCAAAAGGGTTTGTGAAGCCCAGGCATATGCATTTATCAAAATTTATCTAGTGGTAAACTTAACATTTGGATTTCACTGTATGTAAATTTTACCTCAAAAATAAAAAGAAGTTTGAAACAAGTATTATACTCCAGTTAATTATGTTCACGCTAAAATGTCTACGAGTAAATTATACTAATGTCTGCAACTAACTTTAAAAATAAATAAAATCAAAAAATAAGATGGTTGCTTTAATAGAGGTGTCTTTAAATATAATAGTAATAATAAGTAATGATAGTAATTATAAGGTGGCTAGATGGATGGGTGGTTGGATGGATGAAAAGGCAAATATGATACGATGTTAACAACAGTAGAAACTCGATGACATATTCTTTCAACAATTCCTTCCATCTTTCTTTATACTGAAATTTTTCAAAATAAACATTTGGGAGGTGAGGGGAAAGTCCACTATAGCAGACCAATCGCAATTTGCTGAACCACACCGAGTCACACAAAGAACTCTTGCTATCGTTTGAATGTGTCCCCCAATATTCATGTGTTGAAAACTTAATCCCCAATGCAACAGTGTTAGGAAATAGGACCTTTAAGAGGTGATTAGGTCATGAGGATTCTGCCTTCATGAATGGATTAATGCCATTATCTTGAGAGTGAGTTATTTTAGGAGTAGGCTCATGATAAAAGAATGAGTTTGGCCTCCTTTCTTCTATGCAGTGTACTCTCTTTCCATGTTATGAGTCAGCAATCGATGCAACCCCTTGATCTTGGACTTCCCAGCCTCCAGAACCATGAGCCGAATAAACTTCTATTCCTTATAAATTAGTCTGTGGTGTTGTGTTATAGCAGCATAAAATGGACCAAGAATAAACACTAAAGGAAAAACTAAACAAAAACAACATCAATGGCAAATAAGGTAAATACTGATAGTCGGATAGGAACTGGAATTTATTTTCTAGGCAAATGGAAGATGGATGGAGGAGTAGAGAATATTAACAAACTCATTAATACCCTGCTTAGCAAAAACCTGCAACCAACACAATTTTCTTAATTTAAATAAATAATTTGCAGGGAAGTGTTTTTTAAAGCATTTTTATTACATTGAAATTAATGTCGTGCTTTCTGTTTCAGGGTAATAAACTGGCACTGCTGCCTTTTGGCAATGGTGGGGAGGAGGAGGAGGAAGGGAGGGATTTTTGTTAAGTGAAGGGCTCACTACCTCAGAGCACATTAGTGGGTTTGGAGGGGAGAAAGAAAGAGGAAGAGAGAGAGAAGAAGAGGGAAAAGGGAGGTAAAGAAAAGGAGAAAGAGGTAGAGTGAAGAAGGAATGGAGAAGAGAGAAAAAAAATCGAAATTACAGGGCTGAACAGGGAAAAAGAGGAGCCAACTGGATACAGAAAGGCTGACAAAAAGAAATTCAGTAAAATTCCATAGTGGTGGGTGGCCAAGGAACATTTTGAGACAAGAGAGGCTGCCTGATCCATTAGAGGTTGTTTTGTTGCTGCTGTATACACTCTGCTGCTATCCTTTCCTCAAATCTTCACTAAAGGCACTTAAAATCATGAATGTTTTATGTGAATGGGCTTTTAGTGGACATCAAGCAGGGAGCTCGGTTTTGTTTCTGGGTCAGCGCCGTGCAGAAATCTTGAGAAGGGCTTCTGACTCCCACAGGCCTTGGAAGGGGAGGTGTTCAAGCCAATTTTATGTAGATCTTTCAGGATGAATGAGAAGCAGGGGAGGAATGAGACAGCAGCTTATTCAAGTAAAAGCTGGCCTGCAGAGAAAAAAATTTCAAAACCACTTTTTCTTATCCATTTTTAACCCAGAAGACCCTCATTACCAGGACTGGAAAATCAGGAAAGTCATTTTCATCCTTACATCCGTCTTTTTTTAATGAGATTACACTGCCACCTACTGGTATTGATAAAAAATACCTTTTATAATAATTTTAAACTTTGTGAGCCTTAATCTTTCATTTACTGACAAATTCTTCCCTTGTATGGGAACACAGATTTGCATAAGATGAGTTCTTTGCCTGCAAAATTTTATCCTCTAATAGTAATCTTAATGAAAACAACTTGTAGCCCTTCAGAATTCAGACACCATTTCAACAGTAAAACCTTTCTTTATAGAGGTTTCCCATCCTTCTTAACCAGAACTGACAACTCTCTCTTTTGAGAATATATACTATCCATTGTATTTAGTTGATTACTTGATTATACTGTCACCCATAACTAGACCATAAACTCCTAAGATTCAGGGACTATATCTTTTCTGCATTTATATTCCTAGCACCTGGAACAGAACCCGCACATAGCTAATAAATATATAATAAATGAATAAATGATTGATGATCAATCAAAAAGTATAAACAAAGCAAACATCACTTTATATAAACTTTTTTTAAAAAATTAAATAAACATTTCAACATCAAATATATACATTATGTACTTCCTTGTCTATGGAGTGGCTTTTACTTTGCCCAATTTTCCATTTTACAAAATTCATATACATGAAATCAGAATAAAAAAGATATGTGAAGTTAGGTTTTCCCATTGGCATATAATTCATAAACTCTTAATTACCATAAGGTAATCTAAAACAAGATATTCTTAAGAGAATCAACTAAGAGGAAAATTTAGCATAAATAAATTTTATTTATTTAATAATGAGTCAGCACTGCTAAGGGACAAAGAAACTTCAGATTTGTAGTACTGAAACTATTCATATTACTTACATAACCCAGAATCATGAACAGGGTTGAGTTTGAGATTTGAGATCCTCATATTGATTATAGGGAACCCTAAGGCACCCAGGGCCTCTCTTTAGAAACTGATTACTCCATAGGGAGAAGACACTCAGACCTTAACCAACTCTCCTATCTGAATTTAAACAAGAATGTCTAAAGCACTCTCTTTAAAGCCCTCTCTCTAAAGGAACTTCCAGGGAGCATGGCCACTCACTTTGAGTCAATAAAGGGTCAAAGAAGTGTGGGCAGTAAGGCGCCACACCTTGTGACATGGCCCTATTTCACAATGCAATTTTCACAAGGGTCTACACACACATTCTTAGCCAATAAGCTGGACACCTCTTGTACTGAGCAAAACTGGATGTGAATTCTTCTATTTTCCTCCCATTTGCTTCAGATTTCCTATTCCATCCATTCTTACTTTCCTATTTTCCTTTCTAAGGCTGATCTCATCCCTTCCTAGTCAAGTTCTGAGACCTAAATTCATAAACCATCTTCTTCTTTTCCTCATTTTCCTCTCCACCAGTTCCTCCCTACATACCAACACACCAAGCCTCTTCTATCTTGGAGGCAAAAAAAGTCCTCCATGAGTCTTTTACTCTGAAGAGTCAGGTGGCATATCCTAGTATCTTCTTCCCTTCACTGCAATCTTCATAAAAGACTTCAACTGCTGCAATTCTCTTCTCCCTTTTATGGCACAATTGCTTGAACCTGAGTTTCCCAGGTTTGTGTCTTGGTACCACTTTCCCTGAAATTACTAATAACCTTCAAGTTGCCAATTCCGTTACTCCTGCTCAACTTCTGACACTTTATGCAACAGTGATCACCTCTCTCTACTGCTGCATGCTTGCCCCACATTTACACTCCCAACCTCTGCACACTTCTCCTGAATAGTTCTCACTTTCCTTCCCTAGGACCTCTTTTGCCTTCTGCCTCTAAAATAGAAAGTAGAAGATGTACTAAACACTTTAGTCCTCATCTTGTTCTCACTTGACATGTTCTTCCTTAGGGATTTCATCTATTATTTTTGTCCTTCCTCCCTTCATTGATTTAACAGAGGTCTATTATTAGCCAATGATGTGACAGGTACTTTTCCTGGAGCTTGTGATTCAGCAATGAACAGGAATTACAAGATCCCCATTATCATGAGCTTATATTCTAGTGTGTGTATGTGTTAGAGGAAGGAGGGTGGCCAATGATAGATACTAAACAAATTAAAAGGCAAATAACCAAGAAAGTATCAAAATAACTTTGCACCTGAGCCTATGAGTTTAGCTTTCCCAAGGCTGGCAAATGTCAGCCCGACAGCATCTTGCTAGGGAGCTTGCCAGGCGAGGCTTCTGCGTGGAAGTGAAGATGGAGGCTCAGAATGAGCCACCCAGGCTGAGCTGACTCCAGCTCATATCCAAAGGGCTCCCCAATACCAGACGCTTTGTTAACCAGCAGCATCACTAGGCTCTGACTAAATTGTGGGAGAAGTAATCCAAATGCTGAGAGAGAGCAGCAGCAGCCAGCAAACAAAGGACATCGCCATGGCAACCAGAGGAGCCTTGGGATAATATGCAAATCTGGGAATCCTGCCTTCCTTAAGCCATAAGATCATAGAAGCCACCCCTGTTCCACATACTCAGATGTTGTCTTAGGGAGAGAAGCTATCTGAGACCCTGAACAATTATTCCAAGACACTAAGCATTATTGAAATGAAATGCTTAAATTCTTACATAAGACTAAGCTTTAAACCTGATTAAATCCATTTTCTTGTGTTAGCTGTTGTCTATGTTTTGTTCCTCCATGATCCTAACCCCCAGTAATCAGCAGGTTGAAGATTATAATGGGTATATTAGAGGCGACAACAATCTTTTCTCCCATACTTCTCAGTTATAAAATGGGTAGGATTATGACACAGCTATGTGTTTGTCTAGAATTCTGACTCCTTTCTTGAGTTTTGTACCAGCATCTCTAATAGTCTCCTGGTATAAAATAAAATTTGTGTCTCCAACCTACAGAGCAACTTTTTCCTAAATATTTTGTCTCAATTAAAATTAATTTCTGCATGATGTTTTTAGTTGGCTCCCTAATGGAATAGGTTCCTTTTTCCATTCTGACACACACATTCTCTTTTGGTTCTCAAATTATTAATGTTATTTATCTCTCACTGTTATACTTCTTCTGAGAAAACCAGAACCATGATATTGTAAAAACCAGAGATGATTCTACAAAGGCTGTGAATGGCCCTCATTTGCAATCTTATTGCGCCCAATCTTTTCTTCATTGCCATTGCCATTTCCTTGCTGCTAAAACAACAGATGTACCCTCCCTCTAGGCCCAGAGACTATGGAGGAAAAGGTGGGTGTGTGAGGTTGTAAGGGCCAGTTTATAGAATTAGTTCAGACTCTCCAAATCCAGGACAAGCACACAGATTGCCTAAAGAGCTGGCAAATTTTTGAGAGACTTTTCCTCCTAAGCCATCTTGTGGTCCCTTTCCATCCATCCCAACCATAAAGAATTTCCTGCTTTCCATAGAATTAAATGAGAATTACTAAGAGAATATCAAGACACCTGGTGACAGAGCCTTCTCAGTATAGTTGTTCCCAGTTATGGGGTTTACACAAATAAAGACATAATAAGAAATTTTTCAGCCACCTTAAGATAAATTACTAAAGAGATTGCAAAAGGCATTGCAGAGCAACAAAATCTCTAAATTCCTTAAGCTTAAAATGGTTTTACCAAAATGCTTATGTTTTATATAGATAATGGCTACAAGTTGGTAACTAACACCAAGATTGTAGTAGCTCAATGCATAGAACTGATAAGTCAGTTTCATAACCTTACTTTTTGGCTTTGGTTTTTGGCTCTTATGTTGCTTAAAAGGTTTTAAGGGTTGATGGTTACCTGCCCACCTCCATTCTTGACTGGCATAAAATGTTTAGTTGGCTGTAAGTCTTTTGGCTCTAAGTCCCTCTACCATAAGGGTCCCATGAGGGACAGGATGGACCTGGAGCAGGTAGCCACATCACCCCAGCAATGATATGGGACAAAAGAAAAGTCTGGCAGGTCTTGGCCAAAAGGGAAAGAATGTAAACTAAAAATAAAATTCTAAACCCCTTCAAATGATTAAACAGACCATTTCTTGGCCAAGGTAACCTCAGAGCAACCTTGAAAACTGAGTTCTCAGTCTTGATGGGATGGAGAAGTCAGACACATCTCATACTCCCTACCTTGCTAACCATAATTAGCCTTTCTTCCCTAAGGGCTTAGCAGAAACTAGCCCTTTCAAAAGACTACACCACTGATATCAAACAACAACCTGATGCTGCCCTTCCTTTTCACCCGGTAAGAGACCAATGACCATGGAGTGGTTCTGGCCAATCTACAAAGAATGTACATAAGGGTTTTAATGTCCTCTGCTTCACCTTTTGGCATCAGAGGGCCAACAATTCCACCCTCAGATCGTGCTAACACTGCCATATTTTGTACATGAGACCCATGAAGGCATATAAAGCTCAATTATGCATGCACATGTTTCTCCTTTCATAAATACTCATGACTCCTTCTATAACTTATTAAATATGTATATTTGGCCATTCTGCTCAGCATAAATTCCTGCTCTCTTTGCCCACTCCCGCCCCCTTGAAGTATCTGTTTATGGCTTCTGGCCGGAGGCTATGCTTCCTAGCCTGTCAGAATGGCCACCTGTAGGCTGCAACCCTTTGTGAGAAATAAGGTTCTCCTATCCAAATTAAAAATAAATGAGAAATTAAAAATAAATAAATTGGCCAGGCGCTGTGGCTCATGCTTGTAATCCCAGCACTTTGGGAGGCCAAAGCAGGTGGATCACTTGAGGTCAGGGGTTCAAGACCAGCCTGGCCAAAATGTGAAAACCCATCTCTACTAAAAGCAAATAAAAAATTAGACAGGCATGGTAGTGAGCACCTATAATCCCAGCTACTCAGTAGGCTGAGGCAGGAGAATCACTTGAACCCAGGAGGCAGAGGCTGCAGTAAGCTGAGATTGTGTCATTGCACTCCAGCCTGGGCAACAAAGCGAGACTCCATCTCAAATAAATAAATAAATAAACAAACTTCTGATCTTCCTAATCAATCAGATTAGGAACTTTAAGGTCTCCAAAATGTCACAAGCCTAACTTAAAATTCCACTCATAAATCGTTAATTTATATTCTCACTGCCGCTCTGCTAGCTCAGGGCCTCAACTCTCATCTAAAAGATTGCCAAGCCTTTTAATTTGTTTTCCTGGAAAAGGGGCATGAGAATGGACCTAGGGAGGTAAACACGAAGTGTGAGGATCTTTGGGTAACTCATTAACACCCACCAGAGAACATTCTCCATGAAGAAGGCACTAAACAAGTAAGTATACAGAATACTAACCAACTGAAATTATCCAGCTTCTGTCATTGGTCGTCTTACTGCTAGTAAAATCTGGGACAAAGCAGCCATGGTAACAGGGATGGAGGCTATGCATGGGCCCAACAGTATGGGCTCTCTCTCAACAAGGCTGAACTAGCTACTGCCATACTACTACAGATTATCCAACCTACCAGTAACAGACACAAAGCTGAGCCCCCAATATAGCACATTCCCTCAAAGAAATCAACCAGACAGTTGTTGGTAAATGGATTACACTGGAATCTCTCCACTCCAAAAGTAGAAATAAATCACTTAGACAAGAATCAACATATATTACAACATGGATTTGACCTTTCTGCCTGCTGAGTCTTAGCCAGAACCACTATCTGAGAGCTTATGCTTCTGGTTCACTTTAACCATATTCCACGTAACATTGTCTTGGATCAACGGGCTCTCTTTACAGCAAAGGAGATGTGAGCATATGACCATGGTGTGAACACAGCAGTAGCTAGTTCAGCCTTGGTGAGACAGAACTCATACTTTTGGGCCCGGGCATAGCCTCCATCCCTGTCACCATGGCTGCTTTGTCCATTATGCCAGCACTAAGAGGGCCAATGACAGAAGCTGGATAATTTCAATTGGTTAGTATTCTGTATACTTACTTGTTTAGTGCGTTCATGGAGAATGTTCTCTGGTGGATGTTAATGAGTGATCCTTTTCTTTACCACAAAGGAGATGTGAGCACATGACCATGGTACCCACCGTTTCTATCACAAAATGCAACATTCAGAAGCTTCTAGTATGACAAAGCAATGAAAGGTCATTCTAAAGGCATGCCTGAGACAAACCCTTAAAGATGATACCATTTGAGGATAGGGTGACCTGCTCCAGGATGAGGTTATACCTGAAATCAAAAACCATTGTACAGTGACCGCATCTGCAATAGGTAAAATGCAGACAGGAAACCAAGGGGAGCAGCAGGAATGGCCCCACTTGCTGTCATTCTCAATGGTCAACCCACTTAGCAATTTTTATTTTTATTTTTATTTCTCATCCCTGCAATGCTAGGTTCTATTAATCTAGAGGTCCTGGTCCCACCAGTGGACATGGCCCATTAAACTTTAAGCTGCAACTGCCACCTGGTCATTTCATACATTTTGGGCCAAGAGACCAGAAGGCAAGAAAAGGAGTCACCATCTATGCAGGGCTAATAGACCTTGATCATCAGGAAAAAGTGGGGCTTCTGTCACATGGTAAGTATAGGGAAGCATATTTTTATCACCCAGGTAATGAACACATTATGTTTGCCATATGAAGGGTATAAATGAAGGGTATCTCTTCATACTCCTTTGCCCAATTTTGATAGCAAATGAACAAATTCTACAGTCACAGCGTCAGGAAAGCATGGTGACAAAGGCCTCATGACCCACAAAGTAAGTGGCTTAGATCAGTAGAGGGGTTAGTCAAGGGTAAGGGGAAATCTAGAATCAGTAGCAGAAGGAGACAATGAATATTAGTTGTGGCCTGAAGACAAGGTGTAATGAAAGAGATTGGAATAAATCCTAGTTACTCTCCTCTGTATTTCCAGAAAAAGAGACCAGTCAGAATACTAGAGCTGCTGTTCCCAGATGGGGTGAATATATTCTATGCAGCAAGTGAACGACGGTAGGGATTGCTCGGGTGTACTGTCCAGGACTTAGTTTAGTACCAATGCACTCTTCCCCAGCTGCAAGAATGTTGCATATGGGAGCTCACAACTGGCATCTCCTCAGGAATTGCCTTCTATGAAAGGAGCTTCCTAACCCAAGGGTATGTCCCCTCCCTAGGGGAAGCCCACTTCAAATGACTGGTCCATGTTGGGTATAAAGGCCCAGCCCCATTGACCCAATTCAGAACAACTCTGAAGGGTCATCCTAGGTCCAGAACTCTCCATGTGCACAAGATGAACTGCATCACAACTCAACCTCCTCTGCCAGTGCTGCTTTGCTCATTCCCTTCCAGGTGATCTTATGAAAAGTACTTTCCAATCAATCTTCTGCATGTGCTCTCTGCCCTTTTGGCATGTGCCCATCTGTTTTTGAGCATTCCCTTACTTTTTGGCAAGTAAAAACAATGCAGGCTTACTTTCTATCCCTCCTGCTCTGGAATGAGCCACCTCCAAAGAGTATACCTGAATTAGAAGAGAAATACCACAAGAGAAATTGGTGGAACTAGGTAACAGTCTTTTAAATTTTCTATGTGTTTGAAAGTTTTCAAATGGAAAGCTGGAGGAGAAAAAAAGAATACTTCTTTAAAACTTATAGAAAACATTTGCCAACAGTTGGTCATTAACCACTGAGACTGAAAATTGTATACACTACCAAGATCATTGCTTACCACTATTTCCCTTCATTATCTTCTCATATCCTAGAGTCACTGTTCAAGCCCTTTTGTTGATTGGTGTATTTTCTCAAGACTTCTCTAATTTCTGAATTCTCACACATCTGCAAACCTCTTTCTCCCTACGAGGTAACTGATAGCTTAGCTTAGCCTAGCCTAGGATCTTCTAGTCTACTGCCATTACCCCACCACCTTCCAGTCTCTAGAGCTGCACACAGGAAATGTAATGTCTGTCTATTTGTTCTTTGCAAGTAATAATGTTTTTTTCTATCTGGAACCCTGTAAGATTTCATCATTATCTTTGGGGTTCGAAAGTTTTATAGGAATATGCCTATTATCTGTTTTTTTCTCATCCATCCTAAATAAAGCTTGGATTATAGTGAGAGACTGGGGCATTCTTCAACTTGCAGATGTAGGTTTCTTCTAATATAGATTTCTTACTATTTTTTCTCACAATTTCTTTTTTTTTCCACCTCCTAGGACTCCTAATATTACATCTCTTGGATCTATCAAGTCTGTCCTCTCTCATGACTTCCTTTTATTTATAATTTAGGGGGCTTTTTTTTAGTGGATTTATATATGTACATCATTTAAAACTTCTACAGGGTTTGATATGAAAAAATTAGATCTCCCCACATTTCAAATTTCTCACTCCCTGAATTGCTTTCAATTCTTTTTGCTGGTTTTTGGTATTTGCCCCAAATTCCTTTTTTTTCTTTTTTTTTTTTTGAGACGGAGTCTCGCTCTGTCACCCAGGCTGGAGTGCAGTGGCCGGATCTCAGCTCACTGCAAGCTCCGCCTCCCGGGTTTACGCCATTCTCCGGCCTCAGCCTCCCGAGTAGCTGGGACTACAGGCGCCCGCCACCTCGCCCGGCTAGTTTTTTTTTTTTGTATTTCTTAATAGAGACGGGGTTTCCC